TTAATAAAGGGACTAAGCCGAAGAGAAAATGAACGAATGAATGAATATAGTTTATAAGTATAAATTACACCTCTATATATTGGGGGCCCCCAAGATTTAATATAATATAATATAATATAATATAATATAATATAATATAATATAATATAATATAATATAATATAATATAATATAATATAATATAATATATACATTCATTTATTTAGAGACTGCCCCCATGTGTCTAACTACCGTTATATCTTCCCTTTAGTAAAATAATCTACAATTACATAAACAAGTAAAAATCCTTAAACATTTCTTCTACTTCTAAAAAACAATACATTAAATTGAATTATATAGTGTTTACATAGTAATAATTGCTATTTATAATAATAACAATAATTTTAATTTTGTCCAAAATGTCCAAAACCCAAGTGTCCAAAACCCCATTGACCATTATTTCTTCTTTTTATAAGAATGCACTGTTTCTCCAAAACAAATTGTAAACAAAATAGACCTCTTTTTGATAAAAAATAAAGAAAGATTAACATAAATATATATTTACAATTCCTTATATCTCTCTTTGTTGTTCTTAGTGTTATTATTTTAATTTACATACACACACCCATGTAAATATTATTATAGAACTACCACATCCGTAAAACTCATAGATTGTAAAAAAAAAAACATTAAATAAAAATTAATAAGCACATTGCAACCCCTTATTAAAACGATGTACATTTATATTAAATTATTAATCAGATTTAAGAATTTATGGAAGTAAATCTAAAAATAATCAAATGCTAACCTTCTTACTTTTAAAGTTCACAATATCCCAACATACAATGTATTAAGTCTTAAAGACTCATTTTTCAAAATAAAAGAGACGCTTATTGTTTGGAATGATCCCTTAAGAAGGTTTTCATACTTATCTTTGTACTCCATGCAGTTATCTCCATTGCCAAAACATTCTCAAGGCGGAGGGTTAAATGAGCAGTATGAGATTAGATATGCCAGACAGCTCGCTTAACCTTCCACAAACTGGCTCGTGACATCAAACTATGTCAATATGTCAAATTATAAAAGAAACAGGATGATTTGATCTGTGTTTAAAGGTCAACTGAACTTGCAGGTTCATAGAGCAGCATTTTCAAATGCTACAGTAAATACATATTATGAGCTGACAATATAATATAAAATTACAGCATTGCAAAATAAGAGATTATGACAAATCCATATATGTATATATGCCACCTTTTAGCCTAATTAAAGTGAAATGTATACTGTTAGCTATATATTGATATTATTTTGATTCCATCAAGGAAATTATCAGTTTTATTTTGTACTTTTTATTATTTTTTTTATTTTTTTGAATGAAGACTTAACCTAATCCTAATTCTCTTACCTTGAGACATTACATTTATGTGTTAATAATCCCATTACAAAGTTGGATTGCCGATAATATTCATCAGGCTATTAATTGACACATAACCAAGTGTTGTCTTGAAATGTGCACCATTCTCTGCATATGCATTTTGCTGCGAGTGAAATGCTTTATTCAAGTTATCTGTTAAAAGTTAATTATTCTAATCGACCTCAGATTCGTTCTGTCACATAAACACTGTTTGAACTGTTTGTTCAGAACCGGTCAAACTGTTCAGAATGGTTATTATGCTCTATCAGAACGTTTAGGTCAGGGACTGTTCATGATGCTTTTAAACACTTAAAGGAGACCTATTATGCAGAAATCCCTTTTATAAGGGGTTTATACACAGTTGTGTAGCAACAATGTCTGAATATTGCCAGCCTCTAATGGTAAAAATGAATAAGTTATGCATTTTATAATCACACTTTTTAAAAACAGTCTGTAGAAATACTTTGATTGACATTTTCTCTTTGTACCTGTCATCAGAGGAAATTCCCGTACACAGTGACCATCTCTCCTTCATTAGCATTGACAGCTCTGATTGAGAAGCAGCCATCCGCCATTAGTGTTTTTAGACTGATGTAAAGTAAACATAATGTTAAGTATTAATACATTTAAATTCTTATCATGAGCTGAGAGTACAAATTTGTTCCTATAGGTAAACAAAATATATAATTGTATCTTTAAAGGTGCCAAATTGGTCCTTTAAGTTACAATTTTGTACCCAAATGTGCTATAAAAGGTACAAAAATCTACTTTTCAAACCTAAATCTGGACGTTTGTACCTTTTATAGTCCATTTGGGTACAAAATTGTACCATAATGACCAATTTGGGACCTTTAAAGGTACAATTATATATTTTGTTCCCTCTAGGAACAAATTGTATCCTCACTGTACCTTTCTCCTGACAGTGTACCTGCTGAAGATGGTGTCAGAAACTAACAGTGTTGGGTAAGCTTCTAGGAAAATGTAGTGAGATTAGCTATTAGTACTTAAAATGTTACTACTAAAAGCAACCCTTTTGAAAATGCAGCAAGCAAAGCTAAGCTAAAAGCTACATGGCAAAAGAAGCTTAGGTACATTTAAGTTTTTTTTTAATCAAATAAACTTAAATCCAAGTCAGTTCTGTCTTAGTGATCAATAAAAACTGCCAATGAAACATTCATTTTATTTATTTTATTTTCGGCTTAGTCCTTTTAATAATCTATCAAACGCCAACTGATCCAGCCGGGTCTCAAACCAGCGACCTTCTTGCTGTGAGGCGACAGCACTACCTACTGCGCCACTGCATCCCCCCCAATGAAACATATGCTGCGTAATTGTTCAATTCAGTTGTTTACTGAACTTAATGTGCTGTTCCAAACAAAAACAAATTTTACTAGACAGCAAAAACTATAAATCCTATAAATCCTGTGTTCTGGGACCTTTAGCCCGGACAGATTACTATATGTTTTGTTAAATAAAAAGTATAGTATACAGCTATATTTTGCTTGTTTTGACACATTTAACGATTGTGGCTAAGAAATAATTAATTGTTTATGTTTGGTGTGGTCAAAGATAAATTTGGTAAATCCTTCATTTTGAGCTCTGAAAATGATGTGAAATAAAAACTAATTGTAATACTATGAAACCATGACCCATTTGCTCATGATTATTGAGCAAGCTCATACCCGACACACACAAAGTTAAATGAATGAGGAGGCATGTCGAGATAACGCAAAATCTAAATCATGTCATTTTATCATGTTAAAGTCATATTTATGTGTATAAAATATTTTCTCAACAATAAAATTGTGGCTAGTGAAAATGGCGAGTGGCTAGTAATGTTGGAAAACTACTAGTTACAGTGGCTGGTGATCAAAAAAGAACTAATATGTATTACTATAGTTGTTGTATTGCAATTATAAAAGTACCACAGTTGTGGTAAAGTTCTAAAAGTACCACAGCAAATGAATTCAATTACTTCCCTATTATTCAAAAACACTTTTAAATATTTAATACTGTTTTTACATTAAACTACTATATTATTTTTTCATGTAAGTGCACTTGGGCACATATGCAGAACAAACAGTGAATGACTTTAAATCAATTCAACTTTAACAAGAGATATAGTCTCTTAACTTTAAGACATGTACTTCAGGGCATGGTCCTGCGTCACAAATAATTCCTTTACTTTCATCTTTCCATCATGCAAGTTTCTCGTGTCAGCCCAATGATTGATTGGTGACGTCACTAACCGGAGCAAGAGTAGGCAATAACTCACCAAAAAGTTTGTTTGTGACCACCATAAAACACCATTCTTGCTATGGGTTTACTTTTATCGGCCAAACAGTGGCTCCACAGCTCCGTGAATGGCGGTGGAATAATGATCCGCGATCTGCTTATGTGGACGCGACTGCGCTATACTTGCTTAAAAAAATCACTTCTTAAAAGCTATTTGATTTCAAAAATAGCGACACTACCCCCTCACTTCTGAGAAATGTAGTTAAGCTAGTAGCGTCACTATCTGTTGGGATGCTACTGCCCAACACTGGCAACTCAGAGCATTATAAATGTTGTGATTTAGGATGCACAAATGAACAATAGCCGTAGTCTCTGCCTTCCTCTGATACACTTCTTTTGACATTTTCAGTTTTTCATAGAGATAACGTTTTTCCTCATTTGAATCTGCCGCTATGCTGATGCACAGGTGTTTGTAGCAAAAGAGCACACTCTCATTTAACTTTAAAGCGACAGCTACCGAAATGGCACAATTTGAGTCAAAACCTAAAAAGGTCAGCTCCAAAGAATTATAAAGTATGATCTGTGTGATATTTTGAGCTCAAATTTTACATACATACTCCTAGGGACACCAGAGACTTCTATTACATCTTTTTAAAAGTGACATAACAGGTCCCTCTTAAAAACTGAACATCAAGTCCAGTTCGTTAGTTCAATAATGAATGCAGTAATTGTTGTGATTTTGCTAGTCCTTTCTATGTTATTAATGCATTTACATTTTTTTTCCATGCGATTTACAAGTATTCACAAGGCAGATGTAGCATGTCAGATGTAACTGAAAAAAAAAAACTCTGAAGAGACACAGTGTCCTGTCCTTCAAATATCAGAAGGCCACATTGGAGGTTTATCAGCTAATGACAGGAACAGCAATCAATGTTCTATTATTATTTTTTCAAGGCCATAACGTAAAAAAAAAAACACATTCAAGCCAAAAAAAGTTCACAATCTAATGTCACTGACTGGAACAGTTTAAAACTTTAACAGTTTTAACGTTTAAAAGCCTTAGATTTTGAAGTCCTGACAGGCTTCATTAGAATTCATTTAAAAACCTTTTTTGCCTCATTAAACTGTAACTCTATGTGGTTTCACATACCAAGGTCTATTCTTGGGAAGCTTGGTATTTGGATTTTTTACTCAGATGTGACTTTGATATTATAAAATTCCACTTTCTTTGTCTAAATTCCAGTCAACTACTTTTGGAAAATGATATTCATTCATTCATTCGTTTTCTTTTCGGTTTAGTGCCTTTATTAATCTGGGGTCGCCACAGCGGAATGAACTGCCAACAGCATGTGTTTTATGCAGTGGATGGCCTTCCAGCTGCAACCCATCACTGGGAAACATTTATTCATCCATCCATCCACACACTCATTCACACACATACACTGGACAACTTAGCTTACCCAATTCACCAGCAATATTCTTGCTGTGCGGCAATAGTGCTACCCATCGCGCCACCGTGTCGTCTACTTATAAACAGGAAATCAATATTTAAAACTGAATGGTTTGAATGGGTATTCTCTTTGTTATTGACTTGATGAATTGTAAAGGTGTTTTATTGGCTCATTTTAGATTTGTTGAACACTCTAATTTAAACTACTCAAAGAAAGCTATTTCTATAGCTTTAATTCACCTAATTCAAACGTACTTTGATGTTACTTTAGTGTTGCTGAATTCATCAATTAGTAATCACAAATTACTAGATAAACAAATTCAAGAATACTGTAGTTACAGATGCTTTTAAAGTTAAATTGTTCCATGATAATGATGAACACAATGTGTCTGTATCATTCTGGCATGATGGAAAAATCCTTCTCTAAATACGTTCAATGATCAATTCAAGTCAAAGTCAAGTCAAAGAAACACATTTCAAAGTTTGTCACAGGATTTTTCCGGTTTCTAATTTTCTGCATAGGCGATTTAAATTCGATAAGGCAGAGTGTACCTTCTGTGGGTTTTACGGATGAAACTTTAGAACACTTATTTTGTACTTGCCCCATTTCATGCAGATTCTGGAGTGATGTTAGAGAATGGCTGGCATTAAATATCAAACATCCCTGTCTTTAACATCCAATGTATTCTATGTGTTGGTGGATTAGACAAGTCAATATTGATTTGAATTGATTAGACAAGTTGATGGATTAGACGAGTCAATATCAGACATTGTGAATATTGTTTTTTTTTCCATAAATCTTTTCTTTGATTTTGTATTTTTTGAACACAGAAAAACATGCCGTAGACAAACAGCATAAAACAAAATGTGTGGATATACATATAAAAATCAATATAAGAGTTGTTAAATAATAGTATTAATAATAGTGTCAGCCATGACAACAATATTGTCAGTAAGAAGGAAAAACTGAAGAAAAATGACAAGGAAATACTAACGCAAAAAAAAAAAAAAATACATTAATGTGTATACATACGTATACATACGTATACACACACACACACACACACACACACACGTGTGTGTGTGTGTATATATATATATATATATATATATATATATATATATATATATATATATATATATATATATATATATATATATATATACTATTCATACACACACACATACATACACACATACACAATTACACAAACACACACACACACACACACACACACACATATATCCATATACATATGCACACATACATACATACAAATAAAACAAATTTCCAAACCAAAATAGGCAATGAGCCAAATCTGTACTTAGGGTTAAGTTAGGTTAAAATTAAGCCAATCAAAAATAAACAATTAAATAGAGGAATGGGGATATACTCATAGAGTTAGGTATTTAAAACTGTGCTGAAAAAGGTTTACGACAATGAAAGTTATTAAAAGCCCAAACAGGAAACCTTAAATTACTATAAAAAGGAAAAAAAGGGGAAAAATAAAAATGAATAGAATAAAGATAATTATATAATATAATAATAAAACAAATTGTTAATAAATAATAAATGAAGGGGGAATAAAAAAGGGCATGGGGGCCTGGAGCCAGAAGGAGTCAGATGCTTTTTGATGTCTCATTGATTCAAGTTAGTAAATCTTTAAGTCTGTCCAAAGTTTGCGCCCAAAGTCTGATGGTGTCCTCTCTTGCACCGTGGATGCGAGCAGTGGACATTTCCATATATATAATGTTAATAAAAGTATAAATCCAAAAGTGATGATTACATTGTGAATATTGTTTAAATTTCTAACTTGCCAAATATCATATACATTGCTGTAAGTAGAAAGATTGTCCCCCATGCTTTGAACATTTACAAAACGAACTTAAACTCTATTACTCCTCACTGAAATTACTTTAAAATTGTTGTGCCCAAAAATTTCATTCGACATTCACAAGTTTCTTGTATTTTGAGCTTTTATTTATTTTAATTTTTTTATTGCCTTACCTGTAATATGAACCCCTAAGGTTTAATGCTGAATGTTTTGTAGTTGATTCATTACTTTGTTCGTATTCTATGTTTCAATTTTAAAAAAAGAAGAAACAAACACAAAATCGATTTTATCTTCACTCGATTGTTTCAATGTACGTCCTTGTTGCACAGATTACTAATGTCTGTTCAAAGATGGCGACTCCCTTGAACTGAGGGGACAAATGTGTTTATGAAGAGCACATACTACCTAAAGCCGTCTCCCATATACAATAAAAATGGTTTTAAAAAGCGTTTTTCGATCCACAGTGTTGGGTTTACGGACATGGAGTGTATTTTCAGTTGCAAGGCAGAGTAAGACAACCTTACCAGCCTTCAGCCAGGCTCAGTGCAGCTCTTACACAAACTGGACGTTCAGCCGTCATTTTAAAGGTGGGTAACATATATATGATTAACTTTCGAGTGAATCCGTCAACAAAGCATCGATTAAAATTTGTGACCTGCTTTTGCAACGTCATGTGTTTTCGACAACAACCAACAATGTTATAGTGATTTTTCTATTAGTGAATCAATTATTGGACATAGTTAATCATTCCTATTTGAGGCCTTTTTCTTTATATTAGCCCCAAGATATGTCTTAAAATTGCTTGTTAAATGTTATTATACATCTTTAGTGATTTTTTAATGGACAGCATTTTATCAGGAGTTCCAGTTTTAGCCTCTAGGGGGCTACAAAACCTCACTCTTTTATTACTAAACAGGCGACAAATCGTCAGTTTTCCCATATGATATTGATGTTTAGCCATATCCTCATACTTAAAGATATATATATATATATATATATATATATATATATATATATATATAGATATAGATATATAGATATATATATATATATATATATATATATATAGATATATATATATAGATATATATATAGATATATATAGATATGTGTGTGTGTGTGTATATATTTATAAATATATATATGTGTGTGTGTGTGTGTGTGTGTGTGTGTGTGTGTGTGTGTGTGTGTGTGTACCTCAAATTGATATATTAGAAATGATTCTCACAGGTGAACAACAGAAAACTTTGACCACCTCATGTGCTTTATTCAGTGTTAAATGCTAATAATGTGAGTTTTAATGCCATTTTAGATGACAGTTATTGCCATAATACTGAAAGCAGCAGCAGACAGTTCTGGCCAAATAATGAACAAAGTAATGTGCAAACATGAATGAAAAATGAACAAACCATTTGTTTTTACCAGCAGCAGACAAACCTCTGCTAAAAAAGAGCACTGAATGTGTAACTGCTAGATCTATGGTTTTTGTGCAATTTTGTCAAAAGTGACAGAAGTATAAATGTTACTATTTACCCCAACTGTGGGAGTTAGGTTTAACATGTGCTTAAAGTCATATTTCACACAATTAATTTCAATTCAGCTTGCTTTAAATAGTAGCTATGTTTCCTCTGTACTTATTCTACATAGCACAGTAGGTTTATTTATTTTTCTATTGGATAAACATTTGGATTTATTTGCATTATTATACATTATTATACAATGCATTTTTTACAATATTAGCAATAAAAACTATTTTTTTCTATTAAAAAACTTTTATTTAAAAAGTTCTTAACGTTACACTTAAAATGTAAAAAAAATATATATTGTGTTAGTTTAATTGGTGTCCAACAGTGTGTGGCTTAATTGTAACACCCTGCTACAACTAGTGTGTTTTCCTCAACTGTCTAGCAGTCACTGTGTGTTTTACACCTTTCAAAATGTTTCCATCTTTTAGCCTAGAAGACGGTGATCACAACAATATAAGATTTTACTTGCATACCTTCACAGATTTAAAAAATAAAAAATGTAGAGTATAATAAAAATATTTTTATGCTACAAAAATGGTTTATCCTGTGTTTCTCACCCAATTTTTGATGAACTTTCACAATAATTGGCAGCAAGACGTCTGCCGACACTGTGGTGAAAACCTCGGAAGCATGCCATGGTTAATCCTGAGCAAATACCTTAAAACTCTGTTAGATTTTACCCAGCATTACTTTGTGCCCTGCACTCCCATATGTTTTAATTAGTTTATAGTTTAATTAGTTTAGTTTAATTTCTGTTGTGTTTTGTCTGGTGCAAACAGCCAAATTGCTTTTCACTGCGTATCTTGTCATGAAACGTGTTGCTAGGACACAGGGTTACAATGTAACCTTCTCACCTAATGTTTACGTTTATATTATTTACTATTTATATTTACCAATTAACCTCATGTGGAGCTCTTAATCTGCGTCACTTTTTGTAGTCTGCTACTGTCCACCAGAGGTTGCATTTCGGTCACAGATGCATGCTTTGAGATTCTTTCTGAAGGAACGAATAAAATACATGGTTTTCCATCGAGGCAACCCGGGGTGCTGAAATTTAATTGGCTAAACTGGCATTGGGCAGGTTAAAATGACCAAAACAAAGACAGGACAGAAACACATTTTCAAAGCAGAATATCTGACTTCAGCATTGTTTTTCAGATAAACAAGTCTTCACTTGGCATGTTTTATAAAAATCTGCATATTATGGAGATATATGGATATATATTATCAAACATATTATGGTATTTTTATGCTTTAGAACAGTCAAAAACTTTCATACAGCACCTTTAAGTAGACATGTAAACTATTTCTTACATTCTAAACACATAGATTATATGTAGAATTCAGAGAACAATTTACTATTGTAGTATCAGTGCATTCTATGGCATTTTAAAAATTAATAAATCTGAGATGGATTAAATCTATTATTGATGCATTTTAAAAATGAAGGTATTTACTAATAAAATAAAATCTGATAAATAATTAAAACCCAGATGCAGTGAAATGGTATAATATGGCTGCCCTTATTTTAAGACATAAATGCCTTAATGAGGTTGTACGTGGGTGCCTGTGTGTGTCATTTCTGTATTTGTGAAGACCGCCAGAGAGTAAATTTTAAATAGTGAAGTTAAAAGAGAGTCAGTTAAGCAAAGAAAACAAAGATGGTGGCCACGAATGTGTGTGTGAGATGTGAGATGAGTCATAAGTGTGACTGGTCATGTTCCAACAATGTGAGAAAACTCATTGCGGGTCTGATTGAGGTTGTTTTTGGGGGGCTGGTGTAAACTCGCAGTTTGCGTTATAGTTTCAGTCTTCCCCTACATGAAAAGGATGACTATAATCCTGACAGTAATAAATCTGATAATGCAATATTACAATTTTCTCCAATAAATTTTGCAATATGAATACAGTTTCACAAGAGAATCTAATTGACATGTTTTTGGGTACAGAAATTGAATGAGCACAATGCAAAAAAAAAATGCTTTTCTTCGCTTTGCCTTGTTTCTAGTTCAAATATCTAAAACCAAGTAATTATCAAGTAAAAGTATTGTTTGGTTTTCACTTTCAGAAGAAGTAAGTCCAAATTAATGACTAGTGAGTTTTTCCTTAACAATAGAACCGCCATGGGGTCAATTTACCCATCACTGTTATTCAAATGTATATAACAGACCTTCAATAAAAGGTCTCCCACTCATTGACTTTTACTAAAATTGCCTTATTTACAATTCCCTGATATTATTGTTTAGATAAAAATAGATTTAAAATGGGACATTTATACCCATAAGCGCCAGCATGGGACAAATTATTTAGCCACTATAAAAATGTTTTTATTTATACACTGCTTATGTTTGAAATTACTCTCCAATGACTTTTACTTTCAATTTTACTTACTCAATTAGTGGTTATAATAAATTAATAAAGTCACAATGACAACAAGAAGGGGGTTTGTAGAGCTATTAAAAAGACGAAATGCAATGAATGAGGGAGATTCTGGAGAAATAAGTTATGCATCAGAGTTCGATGACTCAAATTTAGATGTTTAGATAAGAGTCTAGACACTTTTTTTTAACAGTGGCAAAAACATTAAAATAGTATGTTTGTTTTTTACTGGGTATACTGGGTAAAATTTAACTGCACTGGCAATTTTAAGAATGCAGTGACCTCCGGCAGTTCTAGCATTAAAACAAGCAGCATTATCTGAAAATAGTCTTTGTTACACCTTCATTTCTTGTGTCTAAATGTTTTAAACTCTCTTGAAATGCTCAAAATCGACAGGCCATCACAATATAAAGTACTACATAGGATCTATTTTAATAATGCCAAACTTTCTAAAATATTTTCTGACACAAGCGATGCCTGTAACTGATGTAAGCAGTCACTGGCCGATTACCTCTGACTGCACTTTTTGGTTATCTTCCAACTACACAAACATCAACACACTGCCTCATTGCCTTTTTTCAACTTGCTCACCAGGCATGCAGTTGTCCTCAAATTGAAACGTGTCCCCTCCATCATCAGGAACACAGAATTAGAGAGGTTCTACATTGCATCTGTCTTGAGAAACTGAGACATTGTTTTAAAGGATCACTGAACTCCTTTAACAAAATATGGAGGCCCATACTGTCTGTCATTTTAAACCTTAACATTTCAGGACCTGCTGACTAGAATTTCTAATGGGAGAAAGAGAGACTTTTAGTGTTCACTTTCTATTTTCTTCTTCTATATTTATCCATATATTTATTGATTTCTTGTTATTTTGTTCAATTGGTTTATTATTTATTTATCTTAATTTATTTATTACTTATTATATTCTTATCTATCTATTATTAATTCATCTTTGCATACTGAAAGCCCCAGGAAACGGAGAGATGGAACATGGTGCTTGCTTAGAACAGGGTAGAAGAGTTTAGGTTTGATTTAAGGGTTCTGCAGTTTTCTTGTTTTTGTTGCCGCTATATATTTGATGTCTTTGCTTTGCTGATATTTATTTTATTTGTTTGTATATTATCTGGTTTGTATATTATCTGGGGAAAAATGCAATAAAAATATTAAAAATTAAAGTGGACAGGCCTAAAAACACATGCAAATGATCAGCTTTTACTCTATCATGGTTCAATTCTACATACATGTTCTGTGGATCTTTGTCAACTGTCATTCTGGCTCCAAGTTGCACATTTTGCGATGTGACTATTGCGAATACGCACATTTTGATATCGATGCTGAAACGATACAATATATTATGCAACCCTAGATGTTACTCATGATTTCAAAAGTCATACACATTTCACATTTCTGTTAGCAATTCACAAGCAGTACATTTGGTACTGCCGCATTCTAAAGTAGTCGCTATTTAAAAATATTACATGCACTTCTCTTTTTTTTTTTTTTTAGGCAGCATGTAGTGTGTAGAATGCCGGACATATTATAACCACTTATTATATATTTTTATCTCAGTTTCCATTGTGGATTGCTACTAATTATTGTCCTTTTGCTAATGCTTTCTTATTCAAATTGACTAAATTTACTACAGAAACATACCTTTGGTATAAACTGGGGTCGCT